ACATGCGCACACCCCCACAAACACCCCCACAAACAAACACACACAAACACACACAAAATACACACACATACACACACAAACATACACAAACACAAACACAAACATACACACACAAACATACACAAACACACACACAAACACATACACAAACCACCAATACACAAACACATACACACATACATACAACAAACACATACACACATACATACACACATACACCCCCCCCACAACACACAACACATACACACACATACACACACATACACCACACACACACACACACACACACACACACACACACACACACACACACAACACACACACACACACACACACACCACACACACACACAACACCAACACACACACATACACACACACACACACACACACACACACACATACATACACACACAATACACACACATACACACACATACACACACATACACACACACATACACACACACACACACACACACACACACACACACACACCACACACACACACACACACACCACACACACACACACACACACACACACACACACACACACACACACACACACACACACACACATATATATATATATATGTATAACCTGAAACCATATGACTAGCTCATCATTGCACTTGTCTGTATTACTTGCTGATGATACCATTGCACTGACATATTAGTTGTAGTATTATTAGCGCATTATTATATTTACTTAATAATATAATAATAATAATAATAGTAATAAAAAAATGTTATTACATTTTCCATAGAAAAAAAACATTACGTAAAAGAATAATTTTTTATTTCAACACATTTTGTAGTCACATGTGCATGGTCATCCATAAAAGTATTTGGATGGTCTATATACAAAAAAGTAGCATCACAATTTTATATATATATTTTTTTTATTGTGCATCAGCATCATCGCTCTAACATTTTCATGAATATGACTTTAATAAGTTGAATGCCATGTAGTAAAGTATATTTAAGATTTAACAAGTTTGTGATCATATTTTTGTGATATATGTTTTATTACATCTATTGAAACCAAAAGAGTTGATGGTATATTTGACAATAATTTTGTATAATATTTTCAATTTGAATCTTCGATTCTCTTCTAACAGGCTCACTTCGTATCAGACTTGTTTCCTGAGGAACGGCACTCCAAAGTCACAAAGCACCAGGTTTTGCTTTACAGGATTGCCATGAGGGAGAAAATGAAAATAATACAATTCGCACTAATTTAGGTGAATGAAATGATCTTTGCACAAAATGAATTTTTTAACCACCATACACAAAATACAGAATCATTACATATTCATTCACCTAAATACTAGATGAGACCAGTGGAAAATAAAAGAAAGTTTCCCTATTTTTAGTTAATTCTGTTTATTAGGAGTTTTGAACCAGGTTTGAGGAAATGCATCTAAAGTCTGTTGAAATAATGTGTACACATGCTTATGGATTTAAGGTGAGCTGCTGTTTAACAGTGCTTACTGCATTAAAGTCATTGAAGAGGAGGAGGCACTGGCAAATTGTGATGCTTTTTAAAAATATTAAGAATACATGGTTTGGGTAATTTCATATACTTATTAGATCAAGGAAGTACAACAGTTGGAGTACCTGATAGCAATTACTGTTTGCTGTTGAGTCTCCTATACATGTATGTCATTGTATTACACCTGTATTAAAATACATTAAGGATGACTCTTCTTGTAAAGTACTCCATCCAATGAGGGTTGATCTATATCAAATTTAAGACCCTTTCTTTCTAGAATGACATCAAAATAAATGCTGGTAAATGTATATGAGCCTTTGAACATCAAATTTTATAATCGTTAAGTAATGACACTGTCTAATTTTGAACTTGCATGAACAAGTAGTTTGTGCAAGCATTTGTGCATTTGTGTGTCTAGTGTTCTAGATACACTTTCTTCCAAACTTCAATATTTATGTACATATTTATGTACTCTTGTAGTAACAGGCCTTGACTGTTTTTAAAAGTGCATCTATACAATTGTGAAATTGCACATCTTTACCAACTTCCAATGGATAGATATGTGGGAGAATGCATACATGATGGATTATATGTTTGTTCTTATGGCAATTGCTTACTTGTTGTTATTGCTGGATATTTGACCATATGTAAAGAATGTTTGTAGTATGGTTCATCATTCATAGTTTGATGAGCCCACAGTAGTTACCCCATGAAAGTACATATATATTTGTGTAGTGTTTTGTGAAATGCCAAAAGGGAAACAACTGTCATCTCTGTTTCTTATGATTCACTTTTAAAGAAAGGTTTGCAAATAAGCTTTTGCACTGTTGTCTATATTTTACATGCTTAACTTGGTGGAGTTAAGCAGTGTGCTTGCATTCACAGCAGGTGGAGCAAAGATTTAGTCCATATCTTCAAAAATATAACCCCTCTATCTGTAAGATATTTTCCTTGCGCACAGTTTTACAGATCCATAATCATTTACACTAAGCCTCTCTTCAAGTGATTATGTTTGTGTAAGGCAATAGAGGAGGGTGTATTTTTCCATACTTCTTCCTGGATATTATCTGTGTCTTCTAAAGCATTGCAGGGTAACATTTCTATTCCTCTTAATGTCAATTGGTATTACATATATGTGTGCAAAGAAAATGCATATTGCAGTGTGGTTGATATCAATAGCAGCAGCATTTATGTTTGTATTAGTAATGAATGCTTCAAATGTGTACCTATCATTTCAGATGATTGGTCTTTCTTTTTCTCTCTCTCCTTCACTTTCCTTCTATATTCAGCCATCAGTATGATACATTTAAACTGTTGCATTATTAACCCTGAAGACTCCAAATGCAATAGTAGCTTTTTATAGGGTAGATAAATATTCAGTGATGTGGGAATATCTCTTTTGTTATAATGTCAGTGTCCACTAATGCTTTTATGGAAAAATTTTGTATTACGAATAGCCATCTTAAGAATTATTTGAACAGATCAGCCAGCATCAGTTTGTTGGAAGTTTTGTTATGAGATTATCATTATGTTAGTATAAACAGTTAATTTTTACATGCTGCTAGCATTGATAGCTATATTCGAGTATATAAAATTATTTATCAATAAACTTTAACATAGTAGTGATAATCATATGAATTACATTGTCCAAAGAAACATTAGTAAGCATGTTCCCTAAAATTGTATATCAGGTGTAAGGAAAACATTTTTATATTTTCATTCACATTACATTCATTTTAGTTTGATGGACATGTGATTGCTGCCTGCCAAACCAAGCCACATGCTGTTGATCACAGGTGGTCAGCCAAAAAAGGTAAAAAATCAGATGTTTGGGGAGTGTATATGTGTATGTTTGGCTGTGGCATACACGTGTTTTCATCAGTTCAAGACAAAAACAAGGCCATAACCCCACATTTGTGGTGCTTTAGGCCCAGAACTGGCTGCCCAGAGCTAAACAAGTGAATAACTGTTTAGGGTACATAACTTGGAGCTGGCTGGCCGAGCATGGTGCACATCTTTGTGAATTGGCATTTGGCTTAGGCTTGTTATTGCAGGAATAGATGCAAAGTGATGGGTTAATCTCACTTTTTTCTTTCTTTATCCATTTTTCTCTTTTCTTCTTTATTCTTTACTTGTTCAACTAAATTATATTAATTGAAAATTAATACTGTGCACATTTTTTATTTTTTATTTATTATTATGTTTTATTTATTTATTTATAGAGGTGATATGTGAGTTTGACTGTGTACCTCTATGTTTGTTGATGTCGTTGATGTGCATGGACTTTTGTTTGCATGTATATTTTGTCTGCATGTTGGTGTAGGTGAAAGTGTTTGACTGCATTTGCGGATATTATGATATTTATTGTTTTATTATATTTTTATTCTTATCTATATTTTTTTTCATCTGTATTATTTGCAATTTGATGTGTGAAAGTGATATTAATGATGGTGCTTTTTTTTTATCATATGCGCACGTTTCATCTTTCATAATCAGGAATGTCCTAGGTTAGTGAAAATGTTGGTAGCTTACTTACCTCAGCAAAGTCATATGCTTATACTAGCAGTAAGACTTGTTCAGAGATTTTTATGAAATGGAGTGATTTAAGAAATGTGAATACAAAAGTATCAGTTTCATCAGAGTTGGATTTAGATAATTGTATGCAAACTCTTTTTTGTTAATTTCAAAATGCTTCATCAAAATTATACTGCTTTAAAATTTTATTTGTATTACGGATATTATTTTTTTATTTTGTGGTCATTTCTTTTATTGAGAGGGAAAAGGTTTAATGATCAGAACTTAGTTTGTTACTTTGCATTGAACTTTGCTACTACTTCACTTAAATAAAAAAAAAGTTCAAACAATTTTTAATTAATAGTGGCACATTATACTTTGAGATAGTAGTCTTATTAGAAAAGTATTATGATATATGTGCAAGGGTTGTGCTTTTTGACTTTTGGTGTTTTTGTTTTCTGATTCTATTTTTAGTTACTAATGAATGGTTTTTATAAGGCTTAATTTTAACAAGAGTTACCCCTGGCTAAATGAGTTGTGATCTTACAAATATTCATTTGAATTACTTCATGTTCATTGCTCTTAAGTTTCTGGAGGAAAATCTAATGTTAAATTTATTTGGAAGCTATAAGAAAGGTCATTTGTAAAACTGCTACACTGATATAGATTTAAGGAGCCTCGAATTTGTAGAGTATTTGTGCCAAAAAGGATAAATGATTTTAAAAATATTGAAGTTTAATATATGTTAGTATGATGATGATGGTACTTATGATGGCAAAAAGGATAAATGATTTTAAAAATATTGAAGTTTAATATATGTTAGTATGATGAGGATGGTACTTATGATGGCATTGTTATTTTATTTTAAAATAATTGTTATTTTTGCTGTATTCAACTTATGTATCATAAACATCATCATTAATATTCTTTCATGTAATGACAGTAATGACATGACAAAAAGTAAGGATGGTTAAATGATAGTTATTTGTATTGTTAATGTTGATAACAAAATTGTTAAAGTTCCAGGTTTCTGTTTATTATTGCTTTCTCTCTCAGCGGTGTTCAGTCAGATGGTGTAAATTGAAAGTTAAAGTTAAACTGAACAGCACAAAACCCAAGTATATCTATATGTGGATCTTTATTGCACTTAGTAAAAGTAGTTAGAATGTTGTTTTCTTACTTTTATAAAAAGTGATGTAACTGGGTTTCTGAAGATGTATAGCAAGCAGAGTTCAGTATAAAATGAATTTTGTGCTTTTAGGGAGTTAGTGTCCATTGTAAGCTGAAGGAGAACAATTGATGTGGAGGAAAGTATTTCAGCAGTCCCTGATAACCTTTTCCAATCACTTGTATTAGATTTAAGGAAAAAGTGTAGTTTGAAGTGCTCCATTTGAAATTGCTTCTTGAAATAACACCGTGTCACCTCCCATAGCTCATCTGCTGCAAAATACAGTGTATAAGGGCATGTTATAAGTGAAAATACTTGATTTTTGTCATGTAATGGCAGGCTCATTTTGACTAATACACTTTGTAATTTTGTGGTTAGTGCCCGCCCACTTAACTTTGTGGTACTTGGATGCATATACTGGTACCTGCATGTACAGTTTGTCTATTATTGAAATCCTCTGAGGGGTCAACTAGCACACGTTTCAGTTGATTTGAAAATATATAGAGTGGCACAACAGGAGCTAGGAATTTACCTCTAAATGTTGTGGTCCTTTTTTTTTTGAAAGATATGGCTTAACATTTAACAATTTAGCACAATTAAACTTTGGTAAAATTTTGAGGTTATTCCCTTTATACAGGCTTTTGTCTTTAATCTGAAACTGATACCTTACAAGTTATTATTTATTTGACTCTTGCTAAGTGCAAATTTATATTATATATATATATATATATATATATATATATATATATATATATATATATATATATATATATATTTATATGTTTTTTTTTATAGCTAATCAACTTAAAGGAATGATAAATAACAAAAACATTTATTTAAAGCTCCTGGCAGTCAGATAAGTTTCAGTGAATTTTGTATATACATTAAACTTTCTAGAGAAATAGCAACGCAAGATATTAACAGTAGTGTTAACGGAATTCAACTAACCTTCAGATTGTAATGTTTGATAGATTTAATTAAGTAAGCAGCCCTATTTTGTGCCAACA